CTCAGCTATTAGTACTTCAAAAGTTCTTACCTTTCCCTTTTCTCGTTCTCCTTCTTTTTGTATTTCCATTACATGCATGTTATTCCTTTTGTAAACATTTATTAGGTATTCAATATTTTCTTGTGTTATTTTTCCTGCTTTTTACTCTTTGCATTTCAAGGATTTCTATTGACATACCTTTAAGATCAAAGATTCTCTCTTGGACTGTGTTCAGTCTACAGTTGAGCCCATGAAAGACATTATTTATGTTACAATTTTTTGATTATTAGCATTTCTTACACTTTTCATCTCTGGTTTCATTACTCACCTGCTGATGTATGTATTTCATTTTTTCCTTTACAGTCCTTAATATATCTATCATAGTTATTTTATATTCTCAGTCTGGTAACTTCAAAATTTATGCCATATCTGAAAATCATTCTGAAGCCAGCTTTATCTCCTCAGACGCTTTTGTTTTCTTTATAACATACCTTATAATTTTATTGTTATTGTTCAAAGCCACATATCACATAAAAGAAATTAAACAAGTTTTCAGTGTGAAATTTTATCTTCATGTGGCTAGGAGTTAGACTTTGTATGCTTTTTTCTGTAATTGTAGGTCTAAGAGGCTAAAATTTCCTATAATCTATTTGCTTATCTCTACTGTTTTCTTTGAGTTTTCCGAAAGACTGCTTCTTAAATAGGGTCTGAGCTGTGCAGTTTTTTCTGCTAAATACCTTTGTTATCCTACAGGAGACTGATCGATGTGGTGATAAACATTCTATAATCCTATGACGAAGTCTCAGTCTTCTGTTCCTCTGAGCTATGATGTTCACAAGTACTTTTTTATCTGTCCTCCCCTTTTTAGAAGAGACTGCAAAGACTGAGGGTGCAGGAATTTAGGTAGTTCCCTTCCCTCAGGTAGGCTAGTTTCATTAAATCCAAGTAGTTCCTGGTTCCTGCTCTGGTTTTTCTGCTCCTAGTACAATGTGATTCTCACTAACACAAATATGGGGGCAGGAGTTTGCCCTGCAACCTAAATCTTCAGGTGAATCTAAGAAGAGTTAATTGATTTTCACTTTGTTCAGCTTTTTTCTTGTTGTAAGGATGAGAGTGACAACTTCCAAACTCTGCTGTTACTGTTTTTTTAATAATAGGTTTTTAAAAAAAGGTTTTAAATAAAAGCTTTTGAAATTGCCGACTTCTGTCACCTAGGTTTATTGTTTTTATTGTATTATTATTAGTATCATTGTTATTATTGCCAGTGTTCACTGTTACATATAACTTGCCTTCAATGTTGCAATATAAGGTTTGGATCTCAAAAGTGCTAACTTCTACCGGAGTAGAGAATTTTCACTTATAACTCAAGTCAATTATATGTACAAACCACAATATGATTTTATTTGGGAGAGCACATTACAACAAGATAATCATCCAATCATTTGGCAGTAAGAGGGGAAGGTTATAAACTCTTATGCTGGTGGTGACCCAGCATAAGAGCTGCAGAATCTGAAACTTCCTTTGTATGGGAGAGCAATACTGCTTCTACAGGCAGAGATTTTTGTACTAGATATCAAAATCTGGAGAAAACTTTGGAACCCAAAGAATCACAGATTGTTTTATTTCAGCTCCTATATTGGTACTGAGTTTAGAGGTGTTTTCGGGGCATCCTGTTAGTTTTAATTTGGGCTTGGCCTATGAGGCACAGCCAGGTTTTAATCTATCCTTGCCTGGTATGTCTGTTATCAATGACAAGTGGTTGCGTTTTAATTGACAATTCAAGTCACTCAATCATTTTTTTCTGAATAGTATACATTCTTTCTATTTTATTTTAGAACTTTCTGTGAATAATTGACATGTTGAATCTCTTTATATTACTGCAGTATTGCAGATACTGTCATTCTAAAATCACTACAGATATTTTCTACAAAATAAGCCTAAGAAGAATGAAAATGACTGTCCTTTAAAGAAAACAAAGAGCATACTATCTACCCTTTTTTATTACTGTTTCTTGTTTCCCAAAGATGTTGCTCAGATTTGGTAAATAATCATTCACATTCACTATATGTATTTCCTTCTGTGGGACTGGAATTGATGAGACTTTAGGAAGGCAGAAGGTATCTTTGAAAGAGGGCTTCCACTTCCACCTGGAAGCAGCTTCAGAACCTGATAGCCTGATTTAGGGTCACTTGAAAGGGTGAGTGGATGGGTGTGTGTATATGCCTGTGATGAGATCCCCATTTTTCCAGTTGCTTAGCTGGTCTTATGTCCTCCACAGCTGTCCTGCAGATAAGCAGGGATTTTAACTTTATTCACCTGGATTATGACATCTGCTCAACCATTAGCTGACATACACTCACCTCTATGCACCCCAGTACTCCTTCCTCTGGGAAATCACTCCATCTCTATTGTCCCACCTCTCAATTAGTCAGATTCATACAGTATCGATACATATAATATTAATCCTTAGAATAAGATACTTCTGAAGTTATTTGAAGTGTATCTCAGGATCCCCTCATTTGTAGCCTCCATTCCAAGCCAGATCTTTCAGTCTCCTCGCACATTCTGCAAATACCTGTCCCTATCTCCCCTCCTGGAAAACTCCTTTTTTTTTTCTAGACAAAGTTTTTTCAAGCCTTTTATAGCTAATTTAGTCAAAATAGTCTCTCCTTTCCCTGAAATCCTGTTAGAAATGTGACTGTACCATCCTGCTTCACCTCATTCTTTCTATAATTTTTCTACTATGGAGAGCTTGTCTCCTTATTTAAATTTTAATGCTTCCTGGGAGCAGGTATTTTAATGCTTATATTTTTCTTACACTAAATATCTAGCCCATAGCTGGGCACTTATTAGAGAATTGACAAAGAATCATTGATAGACTGTTATATATCAGCATTTGCTAGGGAATTGTGACTGCTCTGCAGAATGATTTGTAGACATAAACACCAAGTTGCTCTTTATTTCAAGAAAGCAAGTCACCTCTAGATTTTTAAGAGCTGATAATTAAGACACCTCATATATATTAATAGACAGATCATTTTTCAAGTCCTCTCTCCAGATTCCTTCTGCAGCCTGTGAGGAGCTGTTTTTGGAAACTGCATTAGAAATAAAGAGGGAAAGATTTGGTCTGGAGGGACAGGATCAGCTTTCTGTCCCATGCCTGGCAAAGGCTATGGCTGCCCTATGCATGAAGCTTTAAATTAAACTTGATTTGTGGGGCTTATGCAGCTTCTGGCACTAAAGGGGGTTCTTCCATAGTGGGTTATACAAAACTAAAAGGATCGAGTGTAGTGGGATTTACCCATGGCAGAGAAAAAAATGGAGAGAGTAAAATTCACCATAAACCATAAAAACAGTAAATTCCCATTTTTTCCTTGGTTAGGTATATGGTGGAAGAAAAGAAAGGAAAACTACAACTTTATCCAGGAAAATAAAATTAATAGACAGACTACTGGTAAAGTGTGGTTAATTCTTACATTTGTCTGTTTTCAGTGATGATACATAAATGTAAATGGCAACAGAAGGAGACTTACTCAAGTTTCAAGTGCAAGTATCATCAACTCTCTGATATGTATATTATTGGAAGGGGACAGAAACAGGTTACTTTTAAAACCATGTCTATTTGGAATGTAATCTGAGCTACAGATTCCAGTTTGGGAAATCTCTTCCACCGTCCCAACTTTAAGCCTTTCCTTCTCTCAAAGAGGAGCCAGAAGAGATTAAGCCAGGCCAGTTTTAAATATCAATAAATGTAAATACAAATATTTTTGGAGGAGCCACAATATAAACAATCTATCTTTGGATAATGAAATGATGTTTAATAATAGTCCTTTGCATGTACATGGGGATATTTAATTTTAAGTCATTTTAATCTATTTTTCCCTTTCAAGAAAGTTAAGGTAATATAGTAGGTACTCTTAAAAACTAAGGATGAATTAAATTAAACTGCTATTGAGTTAATGACTTTGGTAGAATTTAGCTTGAACTTATAAGAGGAGACCCTCTGTTTTCCTTGAGCCTAGTTGTCTTTTACAGCTTTGTACTAAATGCCACTAAATCAGAAAGTACTTCTCTGCATTCATACCCAGATGTCTAAAAAAAAAAAAATAAGGATCACTTCCAGTGCCCCAATTTTCCATTTAAAGTATTTCATGCTTGCAAATATATGTGTTTAAAGAACCTCACCTCAGAACTTAATGGCAGAATTCCCACTGTGTGGACTTGCAATTTGCTCCTTCTTTGGTAAAAAGCAGGATACAGAAAACTAAAAGTCAACAGGTCACCCAATTTCACCTCACCCAGAAGGCAAGTGAACATTGGTGAGAATATAATTCTCCAAAGAAACAGGAGGCACACTCCTCAGGAAAGGTTCCTGGCAACTCAGCAACTCTGTGAACACTTGGCCATTCAATACCCTTTGCAGCTTCACTTGAGAAAGCAATATGAGAAAATGTCACATCGGGCAGGGATTTCTCCTATGCAGGGTGGGGGAGAAGAGAAACACAAATAGGGAGCAGTGTCAGGAGAAAGCAGAGTCATGGGGTGGGTGCTAAGATCGTGAGGGGATTAGGGCATGGGGTTCATGACTGCATTCAACACAAGAAGAAGCATAGACCCTCTTCACCGCATTTTGGGGATCCAGGGCCACTACCACCCCTAACTTACGTCCATGCTGGTGACCATTTTCAAGGCCCATTCCCTTAACTTTTTTCCCCTGTTAAAACTCTAACATGACCCCATACTCCTGTAGGTTTTTTCCCCTTCACTCTTCATTTTCCCGTTCTTTGTATGGTGAAAAATCTAGTTTGCTTAGGGAATTCTTCACTTATTTCCTTCCCATTGGATCTTCCAACCAAGAGCCACTTTTTGTGTTTTATTGTTGCAGGTCCCACACATACAACCAGCCTGACCTCCCCATGCCTACTGGAGACCTGTGTGAGCTACACAGCCGCCTGCAGGCTTTGCATGGTAGCTCTTTCCAAATCAAAGCAATTCAGTAAAAATTACTGTCTTTGTTTCAGACTCCTCAAAGAGCATCTTGGAGAAAAGGAAGTTGAGTTGACACTCATATTTGATTCAGTGGTGGAAGCTGACCTGGCAAATTATACCTGCCATGTGGAAAACCGAAATGGACGGAAACATGCCAGTGTACTGCTGCGTAAAAAGGGTATTTATTTGTATAACTATTACTATGATTTGTTTAGCTATCAACTAACTATTGAAGTTAGACATGTGCCCTGGACTTATTTTGTCACTTAGCGTAAACTTCTATTAAACATTCTTTTTAAGAAAAGGTATCTCTCTTGCTGTGGACATTAGCATAAAATGCCTATGATCTTCCATAACTTTAGGAAAAGGATAAATAAAATGAAATATTGGTCTGTATTAAATCAAGTGAGATACAATGTACCTTGGTTATATGTGTTACATAAAATTTGATAGGTATTGACATTCAAAATCCTCTCTATATTTCATCTGCTTATATCTTATATTGCTCAAATGAAATACTAAGGATTTTATTGCAGAATGAGAAACAATGTCACGTTTTAATGCCCTCACTAAAATATAAATGAAATAATGAATGGTGTCATATAATACTCTTCTAATTGTTATAATAAAGTGTATAAACAGTATTTCATATCATCTGATGGCAAGAGCCCTTTAGCAGGCATATATTTTGAAATAATTTGGCATTTATGGAGTTCCCTCTCTAGTTTTGGTTCCAGATGGGGTGGAAAACATATATAATTGGAAAACATATATAATGGGCAAAGAAAAGAAACACAAAATTTACAAATAAAAGAGATAAAAGCAGACATGGGAACAACAATCTCAGCACTGGAGGAGCTTCTGAGATTGGCTCCTATCCTGCCACAAATTTTGATTACTGAAAAAGGGTAAATAATTTGTATATATGTGCATCTGGCAAAGGTTTTGTAAATGTAGCAGAACAAATGTTCTCAATCAGTGTTCTTGTTGTCTGAGCTATAGAGCAGTAGAACAGACTGAATCAGCAAGGTCACTAGTTGTACCTCCGAGCCAAGATGGAATTTCTATTTTCCAGTCAGTCCTAATACTTGACCTTGAGCTGCTTCTGGGAGAAGCAGGGAAATGTTATAATTCTGAGAATAATCTTTTTCTCTCACTAGCACCATTTCTTAATCTGATGAGCTTGATTCCATCTTAGAATGAGTGTTTAAATACAAACGTGTCTTGGGCCTCCCCGGTGGCACAGCGGTTGAGTGCTGGGCTGCAAAGCTGCCGACAGCCTCTGCAAGGCTGATTCAATCCCGGGCCACCTGGTGAGGGTCCCACATGGCACACAGACCTCTCCTGCCGCCCGCTGCTCCCCTCAGCAGTGTATTTCTTCAGCCTGCCTGTTCTGCTCCCCGCTCTGGCTCTGGTGAATTCTCTCACCCTCCCGCGCCTCTGACTGTACCCAGTGCTTGTATAAATAAATAAATGAATCTATAAAAACAAATAAATAAATAAATACAAACGTGTCTTGATATAGAAAGTGAAGTCAGGACACCCAGATACAGGAGACCCTGGTTCAGCCACATATTCAGCTACCAGGTTTAGTAGAACTAACTTATCTAATCAGACTCCCTTAAACTCAATTTCATCATCTAAAAATACGGCCAATGTTATCTGCATTGTAGCATCACTTTGCAGTTCAAATAATAAAGATATAGTATGAAATCTACCAAGTTCAAATTGTTCATTATCATTTGGAACTTGGATAACTTCTATGTACTTTTCAACCTCTTAGTCCATCTAGGTGAAGGACAGATAATGATCATGACCTTGTGGCAAGGATCACGGTTCCATTCCATCTCTTATTTATGTCTACTGCACCTCTATTCTCAGCAACTTGGGGCAGTATCTGGCGACTAACAGGAACTTAGAACACATTCTGGCTAATGAATGAATAAAGTTCTCCTTTATTGTTGAGGATCATATACAACAATCATTGTGCTGGGTACTAGAGAATAGGTGTGGAATAAAATAAATATCCCCAATCCTAGAGTTTATAATCTCCAGGACTGTGAGAGTGCAAAGAAAGACAGACATTAAAAATTCAATACAAAAATGCAAAAAAGAGATGTAGTGTTATAATTTAACCTGCTGTGAAGGGAAATATTGAGGGAGGAAGCATCCTAACATTCAGTCAGTGGCGATAAAAATACCCTTATTTGATATTTAATAATGAAAGCAACCACCAACAACACAAAATTTCTAGTGATCTAACACTAGAAACTAAGACATAACTATAAAACTACTGCTTCCCATGAATTCTGCAAAACATGTCTAAATTATGAATAACTGATACTATTGACTCATCTTTCTCATCTCTAAATAGTAGCATTCTCTATGGTTCAAGTGCCCTCTTTTCAGTCACTCCCTAAATCATTTCTTTCCATCTCATGATTTGTTTGTTTTTTAAGATTTATTTTTATTTATTTATGCAAACAAGAACTGGGGTGTAGGCCAGAGGTGCGGGGCAGTGAGAGGATTCACCAGAGACAGAGTGGGGAGCAGAACAGGTGGATCTACTGAAATACATTGCTGAAGGCAAGACAGGAGAGGTCTGCTGCACCATGTGGGTTAGCTCTCTGGCCAGGGATTGAACTCATGCTGCAGTGGCTGCTGATAGCTTGATCACACTGAGACTTTAACCCCTGCGCCACCGGGAAGGCCCCTTCATCTTATGGTTTTGCTTACCATATATATGCTGACAACTCACAAGTGTATATCCCTAGCCCGGTCTTCTCACCTCAACTCCAGAGTTGTATACATAACTTTCTATTCAACAACTATTCAGAAACTCCACTGGTAGACATATCTAGTAAGCATATCAAGCTTCACTTGTACCAAACATGATTCCTAATTTCTTCTTCCTATAGACCTGATAATCCAGTCACCTTCTTCATCTCTATCACCTTTCTTCTAGGTGTTTAGGCAAAAATCCTTAGAGTCATCCTTGACCTTTTCTGTATTCACACTATATCTAATTCCAGCAAGTCCCATGAGTCTATCTTTAATATATATCCAGACTCTGGCCACTTGCCGCTGCTTCACTGCTGCCACTCTGCTTTGTGCCACCAGCATCAGTGAGCCTCACTGCAGTGGCCTCCTAACCAGTTTTCCTGGTTCCTCTGTGTCCCCATACAGTCTGTTATCACAGGAGCTCTAATGATCCTTTAATATGTAAGTCAGATCATACATGACCCTGATCTGAATGCTCCCATTATAGAGCCCTCACCCTTATACTTAGAATGAAATCCCAGATCCTCGCCATGGTCTACAAGACATGACACAATCTGCTGTCATTCCCGATCTCATTTTCTAGCATGATCTGCCTCAAATGTAGCATACACTAGTCTCCTTGCTATTTCTCTTGTTCACCAAGCACAGTCCTGGTTCATGATCTTTGCCCTTGCTATTTCCTCTGCCTGGAACATTCTTCCCCCAGCTGTTCCCATGACTCACTACCTCTTTTCTTACATGTCTCTGCTTAAATATTACCTAGTCCTCTCAGGCTTTTCTATATTAAATACTACTACCTATCGCTTTCCTCTTTAAAATACTTTAGCTTTATTGATGCATAAGTGACAAAATTATATGAGATTTAAAGTGAAGAACATAATGGTTTTTTGAATGCATACATAATGAAAGGATTCCCCCCCTATTGAGTAAATGAAAGCATCCATTACCTCACATATTTACCTTTTGCATTTTGGTGAGAACATTTAAGTTCTACCCTCTCGAAGTAACTTTCATGTATGCAATACAGTGTGATCAAACTATACTCACAGTATTATACATTGGGTATTCAGACTGTATTCATCCTATAGCTGAAAGTTTTTACTCTTTTAATATCCTCTATTTCTATTTAATATCCTCTATCCCTATGTCCCCCATCCCCCAACCACTGACAACCACTTTTATACTGTTTCTATGAATTTGGCTTTTTAAAGATTCCATATACATGATATGTCTCTGTGTGTGTGTGTGTATGTATGTGTGTGTGTGTGTGTCACATCCCATTTTCTTAGTCCATTCATCTTTTGACAGAGTCTCATCACTTTCTTTTTCATCTAACTTGGCTCTATATATTTTAATATTTTTAATACATTTTCAGATCATATTACATGTTTGTTTGCTTCTTGTCTCACTCCCCCCCCCGCAAACACACACACCCATGAACATTGTAATTTAAATTCCACGAGAACAGGGACTTTTTCTGCTTTACTATAGAACATAGTAAATGTCCAAAAATATTTGTTGGATGCAAATAGGCTCTCTTAACTGGAATGGGAAATTTCCAGCGATAAGGAGAGGACTTATCTATGATCTTGTCTTCACTAGTGTCTCCCCTGGGTTATCTAAATGCATTTCTCTTTTCAGAGTAATGCACTTCCCAGATTAGGGGTTGAAAACTCAGACTTCAGAGACCAGGTAGATATTGACTTTTTTTTTTTTAAGGAGGTCTAGAAAACAAGATAACAAAATACAACGAAAATAACTTAGACTATGATTTTTTAAATATTTTATCCACATTTTTTGAAACATTACATAAATCAACAAAGCCTTTTATTGGCCCACGGTAAACTGATTTGCACTCTCCATTTTAGGTAGCAGTTAAATTTTTTCACTGTGCTTAACAAAAAGATGTGCTTCATCTTCTCTCGATCAGTTTTCTTAGGCGCTCTCGACAATGTGGTGGAACTCCAGAAGAGAGCAAGAAGTCCTGTGGCCCTGCTTCAATATTTTTAACCATACTGAGCTCTGACTTGTCTTGCCAAACTCAGATATCTCATCTGGAGATGAACCTTTCAGACTTTCCCACAGCAGAGCCTGACCTCCATATTCACAGTGTTTGACCTGGAATATGAGTGTAGCTTGGTTTTTGGAACATTAGGTTCCTGGTAATCTCTAAGTCAAATGTTGAAAATGCCCTAAGTGATTATTATGAGGAAAAACCTTTCATGAATCCTTCCATAAAGTGAAAAATCCTTTTGTGAAGTGAAAATGCATGTCTATTGTCTCCAGTTAAGAGGTTCAGGTTTTCTGAAAGCAAGATGTGATGTCCTTACCTGTGCATCTTTCACCTGCATCGACCACTTTCTTACTCGCTGATTGAATAGTTGCCAGTAAGTACAGATAACATTTCATTAAGAGCTCTGCCCCAATTTTTCTTTTGTGAACCAAGACTTTGATCTTATACTAAACAAACTCTGATATTTCTTCTCTACACACTTCCTTTCATACAAACAGAAGCATATCACTCAGTGTCTCTCTCTCTCTCTCTCTCTCTCTCTCTCTCTCTCTCTCTCAGTCTCTCTCTCTCTCTCTCTCCCTCTCTCTCTCTCCCCCTTCTCTCCTCCCCCATTTCCAGTGCTACTGCCCCAAACTTAACTTCAAGCCTATAAAAGAAATCCTAGGATGAGAACCCACAACCCGTTACAAATTTATAAGCAAGTTCAAACCATTTCCAGGCTTTTCTCTCTCCAGACCCTTGGCTTCAGTTGCTATCATCCCATTCTATAATATCCAATCCTTCTTTTCAGTGTGAAAAAAAGAGTCAGGTTCAGGCCAAGAAGGTTAAAAAGAAGTACACTTGTCCTTGGGTACCTAGAAAAAGTTACAACCCCATTAATGTCTGCTGCCTTGGTTATGGCTATCCTTAAGAAGTGTGTACAAGACACAATCCAAATAAAACGACTTTTACCTTTTCAGTCAGAAAATATCTCAAGAAGTATAGATCCTGCTGAGCTAGAAAATGGCAAATGAAAACAGAAGACAAAAGAGGACCCACGTGTCTTCTGGGTGATGGCAGCTCTGCTCTCTCATTATACCATGTGTGTTTCCCATTTAATGTGGTTACCAAGGCTGAATTAAAGGAGAGTGGTGAGTCTCGGAGATGAGGTCCACAGTTTTCAACATAAATAGCCATCATTAGGTAATATCTTTCAAAGACATTTTTATAAAATGGACCCCAAAACCACAAAGGTACTTTTCACACCATGGTTTTCTTCCATAAATTTACTGCTGAAGAAAGGTGTCTGCTACTTGAGAGCGCAAATTGTTCCTGCTGCTAAAGTTTTCCATCTACCTAATAGCAACTGGACCCTGTAAATAACATAGAAATGGCAAAAAAAAAAATTCTCATTTGGTGATTTTGAAAAAAAGTTGAAAACTGTTCTGACGAGGGAAGGGCAGAGAGGCTTGCAGAGGTATGGGGAGGAAGGGAGAATGAATACTTTACAGCAGGAGAAGCAAGTTGAATCATGTCCATCAGTGCCCTAAGATCAAAGAGAGGTCAGTTCAGAGTAACAAGAATCTTGTATTGCTCTGTCAATTTAAGACTGACTGTTAAGAATGCATAATTGATATAAGATGGTGAGAAAACAAGCAAAGATTTTGATATTGCAGCCCCACCGAGGTTTCATAAGCAAGTCTGCCCTACCACCCACATAGAGACAGGCTCCTGGGGAGACACTTTCTAGATAAAGGGTAGATGTTCTTACTAATAGGTGGGAGGATTATTTTTTACCTAAAATTCTGTGTCTTCATTTTCAAAATGACCACCTCCTTCAGGCAGGACTGAGTTCAGGTTCCAGTCCCTACCCATATGTGTCCCCTCACAATATTCCTTACTAACATACTTTGTCTTTCACAGCAGCTCTGCTCCTTCCTTTTCCCACCCTCCCCCCTCTCTCCTTACTCAAAAAGGGTTACCTTTGTTTGTGTTGCTTATATTTCCACTCTCCTGACTGGCCATGGATCCGCTAGCTACCACTGTCTTCTCTCTCACTCCAGTCCCTTCCCATGACCAAATTCCCTCTCTCTATGAAACCTGACATTTTTCTTCATATGCTGGACTCCAGAGCACCCGTCCTTCCTCCACAACCACAGGATTCTTCAGTACCCCTTAGTAAAGTGCCTGTGATCCATTCAGTTCTTTCTTTTGCCTGGTGCATTGTAGTTTAGCTTCTGGTTTTTTTAGTTGAAAGGGCAGAAGGAGCCAAAATTCACTACAAGTCACATGTTCTCAAGAAGTATTGCCAGTGTTTCTATGAAGGAACAGGGAGAAGGCTTTCTCTTGTCATTTTTCAGTCTGGGGCTGATAAAACTGTGGTATTATAAAAAGATCCTCAAATTTGAAGATAGGATATCTGGGTTCAAGTTCCATCTTGCCCACTTAGGTTTATGATCTTGAGTAAGTGAATTAAAAACTACTGAGTCTCAGATTTTTCATTTATGAATTTGGACCAACAATTCTTGCCTTAAAGGATTACTTAGAGAATAGTAGATTAGTTGAAAATTTTATCCACAGTATGTATTACTTGTAGTATATATTGCCTTTAAATCTTAAGTGTTACATTGAGCCTGACTAATATTTCTTAAACAATAAGCACACATAGAGATAAGGAAGAAGCACAGGGAGAGGTTGATGATAAGGATGTCAAGAAATCTTCAAGAGTATCTGTCTGTCATGGTCAGAAATTTGATTTTGACAGAATTGATCCATCCTGGGAGACTGATTGATTGATGTCCACCAAACTCACATGCAACTGATATATAAACTAGAATGCTGCCCCCTCTCTCAGTTTCTAATTCTATGGTAAGCTGAATTAAGTCCCTTGGAAGCTATGGAATTAGGTTAAGGGGAGTTTAGCTATTCTTTTAGGCAATCTTATCTGTGTTACATTGAGACCAATGCATATCCCTGTCCCACAGTGAAGAATGTCTCTCAGATTTAGCATTTCTCTACTTGAAACTGCCAAATCTACATTCTCTATTTTCCTCTAACTTCTCATTTCTCTGAATTCCATGATAGCATCCTTTCTTTTGTTAGTAACCCTCAATTTGTTAATATCACCAATTAAGCTACAGATCACTGTTCCCTGAGCCTGGGATACATTATGTTTTGATTTAATTGTTTCAGCTTTCAGAGTTTTAGGGGTACCCCACTAGAGCAGCCTATGACTGCTATCAGGTAGCTGGGTGTTGACTGATTGATTCACCTGGATTTCTCATTCTCTTTTTGGCCCCATTGGGTGTATTATATCACATGCATATTATAGTCATTTATTCAAATAAGTAGGGGAGATGGATAAGCTAATTTTCCCTGCTTACCTTCTATTGAATTATGTTCTAGTGAGGTTAAATGAAATAGTTAAATCCTGCAAGCTCATTAGATTTTATTTGATTCTGAGAATAATTTTATAATGCTGTTCTCCTGTAAAATAAGACCTGTGGCCTAAAAAGAAAGATGGTAATCGTGCTGAGCCAATAAGATAATTTAACAGAAACAACAAAATATTGGCCCTGGACCCAGAAAAGAGCAGCTCTAACAGTTTCCTAAAATAGATTTAAAGCAAAGTATACAGCAGCAGATCCTTCAATAACTTTTTTGTAGGTAACTGGTTTCATTCAATGTCCTTTTGTTATAACTTTTGATGAGAAAAAAAAATTATTCCTGGCCAGAGCCACTATCTATGTGAAGTTTATACATTCTCCCCATGTCTGTATGAGTTTTTTTTCTGAGTACTCCAGTTTCCTCCCACATCCCAAACAGATGCATGTCTAAATTGTCCCAGTCTCTCTCTCTCTCTCTCTCTCTCTCTCTCTCTCTCTCTCTCTCTCTCTCTCTCTCTCTCTCTGTGTGTGTGTGTGTGTGTGTGTGTGGCATGCAATGGAAAGGCATACTGTCTAGTTTTGGTACCATCCTTGTATTTTGAGCTGCCAGAATAATCTCTGCCTACCTGTGGCCCTCAACTGGAATAAATGCATTGGAAAATGAACAAATGAATACAAACGATTGTTTAATATTAGCAGTGTTTTGTGTCTTCATTTAGAAGATGGTGATGTTTCTATAACCAGAAATATGTTGTAGGAACCTAATTCTTATTTATATCAATTAGCCTATGGTAAAATTGGTTTTGTTCTACTTTGTTTCACTTAAAGTGGCAGTTTCCAAAAACCTATTGATGACATTAAGTGAGGACATTTTTGTATTTGTGGAATCTACATGTGTTCAAAACAAATTGGGAATGACTGTTCCTTTTCAGATAGACAATATTTCAATAGCAGAATTAATCAAATATTTACAAGAGTTAATTTTGCAAAGATTTGTTTTAAAAAAACATATCAAGGACAAAACTACTTACTGCATTAGGCAAGAATCTTCTGGAAAGAAAAGCAGAATGGATTGTACATTTTACAGACTAGAAATATGGGAAGATCCCAAGTGTTGCTGATTTAATTGCCTTTTCCTGTTTATTCTGTTTGTTCCAGATCTAATCTACAAAATTGAGCTTGCAGGAGGTCTGGGAGCAATCTTCCTCCTCCTTGTTCTGCTCATGGTCATCTACAAATGCTACAACATTGAGTTGATGCTCTTCTACCGACAGCATTTTGGAGGTGATGAAACTAGTGATGGTAAGCTGTCTCCTATTGTTTCAATTCAATTAAAAGGCAAGAATTTGTGATTATGTAAGACAATATCCCTAGTTTAAGGAAATAAATGCTGAAATGTTTAAAGAGCTATGAATATGCAACTTACCCTAAAATAATTCAGGAAAACATTTTTGATTTATCTATTGAAAGAGCCAAAGGAAGAAAATATTAACAATAGGTAAATTCGGGTAACGAATACATAGGTATTATTTGAAATAGTTTTATTTTTGTAATGCTCCTATATGTTTGAAATTATTTCCATATAAAATGTTTAACAATGAGACATAGTTGGTCAGGTAATAAACAATTGCTGTCAAACCCCTTTCCCTTACTAAGAAGCAAATTAATCATTTTTTACTCCAGAAAATCCAAATTCAGTTACACATCATTTTTAAGTATTAGTAACACCAAAAACATTTGGGTACAGACCATGTAAGATTAAAAGCTATGTCAATACTCTTTGTAAAACTCAAAATATATATTTTGGATGATTGTAATACCATTCTCCAAGGTAAACTCAAAAGATGGAAATTCAGAATATGGCTTATAATTTTCTTATGTTTTCCATCTATGGCTTTTGGAAATCTTATGAATGAGATACCAATAAAACATTCTATTGCGCCTCATTTCTTTGAACATTCAAAAATGACTTAATTTTTTCAAGAGAACAAGTTACCATATTTCCAATCAATAGCAAGAAATTTTGCTTCTTATGTAGCAAAGTCCTCACCCACAACCTACTGTCAGCCTTAGGGAAACCCAGATAAAGAAGTCCAAATGTAAGTCATTACTTTAAAAGGCAAGTTTAAATATTCATTTTCACTGTATTGAAATAATGAAAGTTAGAGCTTTTGTTTGTGATCATGGTCTTACCTCAAAAGGGAGTTCATTTAGATAGATAGAGAGAGAGAGAGAGAGAGAGAGAGAAACAGAAGAATAGTATGGTGACTGAATGTAACATCGAAATTTTTGAGGAAACTTCAATTTTGGTCTTATTATTACTATTACATAAACTGTTATGGATTTTAATTGAATTTTATGTTTTCATAGTAAATTAGAGAAATACTATCTGATGAACATGCTCATTTTCAAAGCAGTGCATTTACCCAACAACTATACCAGCTTACTTAAAAAGCATTACAGGCCCTGACTGAAGAGAAATTAGGACCCGTTCTGACAATAATTATATTCTAACAATATATGTGAAGATGTGACCATTTACCCACCGTTTCCATATATAACAATTAATACAGAGAAATCTGACTTCTTATCTGTATACATAAAATAGATGCAATAAGTTATTGAGGAAAATATCACTGTATTCCAGGTGCCAGAAAGTGACTAAAGAATCCAGTAGGGGATGTCTATATAATAGAATATGAAAGGGAGACTCCTGTAATTCATTTGTTTTAAGTCATGATAATAAATCATATGTTAATAATCTCCATAAGAGATAATACGATTTAGTAAGTTCATCTGCAATAATTACTTTCTTCACCCATACCCAGTGATCTAGGCTAAGTGAGCAAATGCAGTATATATTTGTAAGATTAAGTTCATTCTATTATTGGGGCCTCCCTGGTAGCATAGGGGGTAAGTATCAGTGCTATCACATTATCACCTGTGGGGCCTGAGCTCGATCCCCGGCCAGGGAGGTGACCCACATGGCACAACAGACCTCTCCTGTCTTGCCCTGCTACTCCCCTCAGCAGTGTATTTCAGTAGATCCACCTGTTCTACACCCCACTCTGTCTTTGGTGAGTCCTCTTACCACCCCACCTCTGACATAGATCTCAGTTCTTCTATGCGTAAATAAATAAATCTTTCAAAAATAAAAAAAAAAGGTTCATGCTATTTTTGTAGGGCATTCGAAGGAGCAAATATTCTGCTTTGCATTGGTATGTCAGGTGAAACCCATGTGGTCAAAGATGACAATATAGAGAATGAGCATGTTGATTAGAGAATTAAATGTGTTGATTCCAAACCAATTGTTTAGAGGGAAAAACACAATATTAGTAGGAGGGGTACTTCAAGGGTTTTCATTGGGAAGGAAGAGTTAAAATATTTTTGTTCCTACATGGAGCCTTGAACCTTAAATATGTAATCTCTGTACTAGCTGAATGGAATACAAAAATAGCAAGTATGTAGAGAAGATAAATAAGTGAACATTAAGGCCCTTTTAGAAATATTCAGTTTCATGATGCCAATAGATAACCTACCAAATATTTTCTTTAAATATTTTGGCATCTCAAAAACACAACTTAGTTTTATCTGTATAATTTTTGTTCATGTTTTTCTTTGACTCAAATCTATGGCAGCATTTCTTGTGAGTTCTTATGAAAATGCCTTATTTTTTACAAAATAAAATCTATGCAACAAACTGACTTAACTGTATTTTGATATAATTCATTTCAGTTCAATACACCAACTTATGATTGCTTCATTCTTTCAGCCTTTCATTTAGGCAGTCACTAAATATATTGCCTACTATGGGACAGGCACTACATGTGATGCTTTACTTATATTCTTCTTAGTGGATCAACATTACTCATCTACACTCACACATATACACACACAACAGGGACAATAGTAAGCACAAGAGCTATGACAATGAACAAGTTTACTCAATCTTTGCACTTTAAAAGTTAAGGTTTTAGCACTGCATTTAGCACAGCCCCAGAACAGGGTTATTATAAACAGGCTTTCTGATGGTGAACAGGATTAAAATGAGATTTTAAAATGGAGACGAACAGGTGTGACAACAGTAAAATTCTTCCATGGACAGTTTGGTTCCCTTCCTCATAGCTTCTCTGTTCATTTGGAACAGCATATCTATGATAATCACTGTGTGAGCCCTCTTCCTTATAATGTTCTGTCTTAGGGTGCTCTGTTTTTCAGTTCCTCAGATTAGCTTAACCAGCATGATTTAACAAAGAGAAGAGCTCATTAGCCTTGCCCAGCAAAGTTGTGTCACTGAATTGCCATTGGTTTTAAAACCATTTTCAGGCCTTGCTTTTAGCCTTATTTGTATCATGTTGTTGATTTTGCTCTATCCATCTTGCTCCTCTGTGTGAGCAACAGCTGTGGCTATTCATGGGGTTTTCTTGGCTCAAGTGCATTTTTAAACTGTGGCATCTGCGTCATGGCTTGCTGACTAGCTGGCATCCTAGAGCTCCTGGGACATCTGACATGGTGGCTTTGAGAACTTTCTTCCTGCCCTGCACAGCCACTATAAGCTCTTTACCTTTCATTCATCTTAAAGAAATGTTACTGAAACCAGAACCAAGCACACCAAAATGAAGTACTTCTAGGATATTAGGTAAAATTTAGTATCCAGACACATATCAAAGGCCTCCATGTTCTTTGTCACAATTTGATTTGGGATATAGTGACACTTTTCCAGAGTAAAGTGTTTATAGTATCACCTATATTAGGATATTAGGATATAGGTAAAGCAAGGAAAGATGTAGGTGAAGCAAGGACCAGAAACATGTAGGTTTAGGCCTGGTTGGAAGACAAATAGCCATAATCAGGACAAGCAATGGGCATGAGTCTATAAGGCCTGGTCAGATGGGGGAAAGGCAGGTAGTCACTGCACATGGCTAGTTCATAGTAAATGCTCAACAAATCATGATTGGATAAATTTATAAGTAGATCGATTTGCCGAGATTTAGGAGATAGGAAAGTTATCAAGGTCAGATGAAGCAAGGGTCTTATCTGACATTATGGAGTTTGAGGCCACAGCACCATCCACTCCACCAAGAACAAGGAAATACATTCTGCACGTAGGGATGGAGCTATTTGTCCTTTGGCCTGTTTTATTCTTCCAGCTGTGTATCATCGGCAGCTCTAAGTCCCAGGTGAATAATTATAGCTGCAAAAAGTCAAGGGCCTGCAGGTGCATCCTGCACTTGATTGGAATAGGGTCAGAGGTGCTGGGATTACCAGGAGGTTCTTACATTAGCATTGCTTATGAACATTCTCACTTCCAAGTGGCATTTATACCTAACAGCAAAATGTGCCCTATGTGTAAGCCAAATGATCTTCTCAACTATCTGGGGCAGACCTTCATGTGTATCTGCTTCCAGGCAATCATGTAACCCTACCAAGGATCACGGAAGCCTTTCCCACCAGACAACATGCTAAAGAGAATCCTCCTGATGACTTCAGGCCCCATCTTAACATAAATAGCCATAGTTGCTTTCATTTGGGGTGGCGAGACTGGAATCTCACTAGAATTAGAAGAACATGATCCTGCCTCAGATATCTCTGGGTAGTTACTGAGCCCTGCCTATTCCTACCATAAAATATTTATATCTCTTTACATCATTTATTCCTCCTTCAGCAGGTAGGGTTGAATCATTGATGGTATAGGTACGTAAGTTGCAGCTTCTTCCTGTAAATTTTCTTTTGTCCAGATTTCAGCTATATTCTAATCAGTTCTTTTTCAATGAAAAAGTTTAATGCACTTCAGAAATAATACTGAAATATTTGCCTGTCTTTTAAAATTATTATTTGCAAGTAAATAGGTTTAAATAAGTACTAATAGCTCCATGAGTCTCTGCTTACTACATTAACTTTTACAAACAAGTTTTCTATTTCAATTCCTCAATTCTGTCTAAATAAGGGACCTTGAAAATCACTATAACTTTTCCAATCTATCCCTTCTAAAACCAACAGGGACTAATACCTTGAGTAGCTGTGTTCATTAACATTTTTTCAGGGATAAAAATGCATGTATATATGCACATTTTCTCTTCAGAAAAGCTGGCTCAGAGTCAACAGAGCAACGGAGAGAAGTATATTCTCGAAGCACAGTTAGCTCTCTGACTAAATGTATGAAGAGTAAACCTAATTTGGCAATCCTCTGGAAGGATGTATATTTTGAAACAAAGGCTTCTTTTGGAAGCTTGTGTCAAATTAGTTGGCCATGGATGGAACAAGAATAATGGGCAATGCACTTGTATAAAACCCAGCTGCTGTGTCTAATATTTGATAATGAACTGCTTTTTGTATATGAAGATGATGATACTAACCAACTGGAAGTATGACATGTGCTATGAGTAGTATCTCCAGGAGTGAGGCTGCATTATTTCAATCTTCCACACTCTGGGGCCCAGCCCCTTTTGGATCTGGTACACATATTTGTGCAAACAAGGTATAGTCTGTGACCAAGTAACAGAGCCAAGCCAACTGGCACAGAAGGAGTTCAATTCCATGACTTTGGCCTATTTAGTCCTGCATTCAAACACACTGAGCTAATCATTTACACATCACTGAACTTCACAAATAAGTATAGTCACCACAAATCACAAATAATATTTCTCTTATTCTTGTCCTAACTATAGCTTACATTGCATAACAATTTCAGTTCATGTCATATGACTAGATTATATTGAAATTCACCAGATTTCTTATGTGGTATGTGACTTTTTCCCCAATTATTAACAAGTCACCAATTATAATGCTTATTCCAGCCCATTATCGGTTATAGACTTTGAATACTTAAAGAGAACTTGCTATATATACACAACCCTTCTGTTATTCCTTATATTTAAGACAACAAGGAATATGATGCCTATCTCTCTTACACAAAAGTGGACCAAGAGGCTTTAGACTGTGACAATCCTGAAGAAGAGCAATTCGCTCTTGAAATATTGCCAGATGTCCTGGAAAAACACTATGGATATAAACTCTTCATCCCAGAAAGGGACCTGATTCCAAGTGGAAGTAAGTACTTTCAATTTTTGTATTTAAAAACTTTGGTTTCTTTTAGGAAATTATATGGAAGCTTCAAACATCAGAGCAAAGTGGTAGATACGTGTTTCTTACGGGTGATTGTATTAAATGCAAATTTCTCCCCAGTGCCTGTCCTGAATCTCTAGCATCCGAATTTTTCAAAAGATGTTCTTGCTTTTTTATAGTTTTTAAATTGTGCCTTAATGGTCTATTTTATTCTATTGCTTTAGCATTCTGAGAAAATGATGGTCCTTAAAAAAATCTGTATAAATCAGCTAAAATCTTTCCAACTCATTTCTGTTCCAAAGCTGATCTTCTGTCATTGTGCTTCTACTTAGATCCTGCCATCATTGTCTTTAATAACTCTGAATTTATGCCTTGTTACTCATTTCCAAATGTGAGTCCATTGGGTATAGCACTTCCTCTGTGATTTTAAATAATTTCCAAGAACTTCTGGACAATGGAAAAATGTAGGCTTGGATGCTACCTTTAAGTCGTGCTACATATGAAAATTTTATTTGAGTTTTCTAAGTAATATCAGGTTCAAGTAAAAATATATACTTTGTTCCTGCTAATGTTTAGAGTGATGTGCATTGTCAAGTGGAAGGGGAATACAGAAAACATAAGATATAGTCCCTGCCCTCATAGAGCTTAAAATAACGCCGAGTGAAAATAAAGGTGCTAGAATGTTTGTATGTATGTCTGTGTTACTATCCCTGAAAGGGGGAAATTAAACCACGACCACAGAATTTGGTAACTTATGCTGCACATGTGACAACAAAGTAGAAAAGTTTCTATCTTCAGTACTTGACAGCACATAACATATTTTTCACATATACTATTTCATTTTATCTGTACAATAACCCTATGTTGAAAAAGAACAATTACCATCTTCCTCATCTTGTAGATGAGGGGACAAAGCCTCAAGGAATTTCAAGATCAGAAAACTGGAAATTGCTAGAGCAAGGATTAGAACATAGGCCAGTTTCACTATGGTTCTCACTCCACTGGATCATGCTATTCCTCAATAACATTTATGCCAAATATCAGCTGTTTCCACCGTGGTCCTTCAGCCAACAGGAAACAAATTGAAACAACCGAGGTTTGAAGGTTCATTTCTTTTCCCCGAGTGCATGTGTGTCATGCATGTCTGTGTGTGCACATGAGCATGCGCACTTAGGAACAAAGGCGACACTTATTCCCGGTCCGTTGTGTTCCTGCGTCACAAATGTAAGAATTTTCCATCCTTCCTCCGAGGTTCTCTACTCTTTTTGTTCTGTAATTTCCTTCAGTTTCATGACTTGACATACCACCTCTACCTTGATGGAACCTCAAGGAACATGCTGATATCTGAGTCATTTTTTAATTCTTCTTGCTCTCGCTAGCAAGTCCAATGTCCCTTGCATCTTTTCCATTCTCACGTCTATCATTCTAGTATAGGCCTTGATCAGCTCATTCGTACAATACTGATTACTCTCTACTTTCCCTCTATTCTCTCTTATCTGTCTGGTCCCACTAATATGTATACTTCCTTGATCATATCATTCTCCTGTTTAATAACCCTGAATTGTTCACCATCTCTTGCAGTGTAAAATTCATAAATCTTAGCTAAACACTTCCCATTGTGGTGTCAGCACAGATTTATTTCCTAGAAATGTGTCCTCACATTTCCCCTATTCCTACCTTCTGCTCTAACCAAACTGTGCCTTTCATATACGGTGTATCCCTGCAGTGTTTTTGTGCATGTTAGTCTTCTATACCTTTACAAATCCTATTTTTCCTTCTCCAGATCACTGCCTCTGTGAAAGACTATAATAATTTCTCTAGCCCTAAAGTTCATGATGTATGATGATTTGACTATAAATCTTGTCTGTATTTTATGTGGTTTTCCATCTATTTATGTCTTACCTAGTCAGCAAGATTGTAAGCTCCATGAGGGCAGGGACTCTATCGTTTATCCTCATTCCCCTGTCATCCTCTAGCATACTACTTGCTCTCAACTTTTGCTTTATGATGCTTCTTGATTTTATTAAAACAGTACTGGGTTAAGTCAAGAGAAATTAATGAAAATGAAATGAGGGTTTAAATTTTTGCATGACAGTATTTGAAAGGTATTTTTGTTTAACACAGTGAATGTGAAAGCCAAAAAAGGAGCTTTCTACTGGAGAGGGAAAAACATAAATATTTCATAGAAATATTATCAGTTCAGTTCCTTATAACAGGATTATAAGCGTATTGCTTCCATTTTTTTCCAGATATTAGAAAGAAGACCTACAAGGGATCAATCATTGATGAAAAATTAAAAACACTCGCTTAACTATTTCGGGGGCTTACTTCATTGGATTACTATGTAGGTCTATATTTTTGCTAAGAACATCTTGTTAAATGTCCACATTCTGCAACATTAATTTTTAGGGTGATGATATCCTAAATTGTATTAAAGTATTCAAATCACCATCAGTCGTACTCAATATGGTGCTGACCTTTCCACAATCAGCAGTCTTTATCAAACAAACCAAGTTACTACAAAATATCAGTCCTCACATGTGAACATTTCAAAATTATTGGGTTGTTGGAAAAGTTATAATGTATTTTTCTGGGTTTTTTGAGCAAAAATGCATCATGACTTTTCTGATAACCCAATAATTATGTTTATTCTGTACTCTGAAGTAGTTTTTGCTACTGTGCACATTGGAAAGATAAATAGGGGAATATGGAACACACTTTACCTGACACTCAGTAGAAGATACTTTTTTATTGTATGAAGAAGCAGTTGTGTGTGCATGAGAGAGACACCCAGAGAGCATGAGGCCAAGGGAAATGTATCCCAAAATTGTGTCTTCTTAGCTCTCCCATGTAGTCTATTTTGATAACTTGACAGGTCAATTGAACCACCCTGCTATATCAATTTAGCCAAAGAGGTGATATATTATTTTTTACTTCATTAAGTCAAGTAGTTGTTTGGATAAATTGATTGAAATTGATTCATTGTTTTGGTGTATCATAGAACTGAATGTCCTTAACCTTGGTGTATGAGACTTACACAGACATATCTCCTTGATCAAAACCACAAGACTTTAGTGAAGGACTGTCACACACTGTGTAAGACAGAGATATTTAAGAATTTGTCACCTGGTATACCCTGGCATTAAATAAAGTTAACATAGAAATATTCAAGAATACGTATCAGTGTGGGCGAGATTTTATGGCCCCTAGAAGATCATTTTAATTTTTTTTGAGATTATATGACCATCAAACTAAGCAGGAACTTGGATCCTGGTACTCAGTGATGTACAGGAAGATTCCTTTTACAAGTAAGCCATTTGGGATAACTATGCACTTTTTAGATGCAACCACTGGAGGGTGTTTGATTTTAATCCTTCCTTCCTGAACGAGGAAATTCATGTTCTCTGAATTCCGATTTGCGAGTGTAACCTGCACAAATGTTTAAAAAGGCTCTTTGACAATTTTTCTTTCCATCAACATTTCAGAGCTGGCTGAGCAGTCACCATGTCACGATTAACGAGTTTTTCCTTGGCATTTTTAGCACGCATTCAGGAAGTCGATGAAGTATATGAATAATATACTTGATTTACACATGAATGACAGAGTAGAACATTTTGGACTTGGTGTATGTGTGTTATTAAAGAAGCTTCTGTGGTCTGTATTTGCAGCCATTGGTACAGATTTAACAGGTTATGCTATATAAATATAGACACATTCCTGCGGGGGGGGGGTGGGGAATACTAGTTTTACAATATTATAAGCTGTGTTTGTCCCTCACATCTCATTTAAAACATGTTGACCCAAATCTACTCCTTCCTCCAAAAAGTAGCAATGAGGCCTCTGAGGATTATAAAAGCAGACCTCATAATGTCATTCTTATCTACAACGAAAATTTTCTATGAATCAAATTAATGAAATTTATAATATGAGCCCATTGATGTTTAGTATCTTCACTTTTGATATATCTTCAGTGTCTCTTGCACCACCCTCATGGCATTCCAGCTCAACCCCATCAACACACAAACCTTTCAATGGATACTGGTTTCCAAAGTAGGAGGTTTGAAAAGTATATAATTGGGTCTCACCCTCTACCTGTTCCCTCTCCGTTCTTTCCTCCTTTCCAAGAGTTCTCAAAAAGCTTGAATAAAAAGATGTCACTTTCCAAGGTGAGCAGGGGTTTCTGTAGCTTTCTCACAGGACCTACCAGGCAAGTATCCTTTGGACATCATAAACCAGCAGAGATGAGGAGATTTGATACAAATATTTTTCCTAAATGCTAAAACTAAAAGTCTTTAGATCTGGACATTATTTTCCTGGCAGTGACCTGCTTTTCCATTCTGTGGCCAGGATCTTCCTTATGTTTTCTCAGGTTTGGTGCCTGAACATGGCAAGAATTCCTACTTTCCAGTAAAAGTTTGGTCTGTCTCTTCCCAGGCTAGAAACATCTGTCCTGAGAATAGCAAAAGCAATTCTGTTGCCAGCAGGCGTCTGAATGTCAGAAGTGACAGGCAACCAAAAGAAAGCCAGATAGAAAACACCCTACTCAAACTGCCTAGAGACACAAACTTGAGAAGTAGAGATTTTCTCACCCCTGCAGCTGCTGGGTTTGTGGTGTAAAGTACTCTACACAGAGCACATTGTGTTCATGGGGCCTAGTGGATCCTTGAGGAATGAACAGATGTGCTCTGAAGCTGACGTGTGACCAACAGAACCCAGCTGTGCAATTGAGATCCTGAGATTGGGGACATTTTTGGATGAGTACCATTTAGGCTCTTGAGCCCATCTTATCTCAGTGTTTCTACAGAGATTAGAAAAGTATAAAAATGTAAAAAGTTATTGAATTGGGCTGAGGGCCACTGATCAGATGGAGAAAATAGCGTTTTCAGACTAAAAGTAGGAACAACCCAATTCTGTAACTTTTGCTTTTATTTAAGAGAAAATAAGCAAGGTGCTTAAAAGAACATATGCAATATTTATTAAATGAG